CACGCCCGGACCTCAGCAGCCTAAAGAGGAGCCGACCCCCCTTAATATTGGTCCTTCGGCGCCAACAGAGAGCCGCACCGGTGGAATACCATAACCCCAAAACCAAGTATCCCCAGCAAAACCGTGAGTAAAAATCAATTTTTTACTAACCCTGCGGTGAATCAAAGATTAAAAAAGGCAGAAAATAATTCCTTGTATGTTTAGTAAGCGCCAGCATTAAGTCATACATTTTCCCTTGCTCGGGCCATAAATTTTCAATTTTCCCGCCATATTTTCATTTTTCCCGCCAATTTTACCTTTTTTGCGCCAATTTTCACGAATTTTTTACCCACACAAAGACTTTTGCAAGAATACATATACATATGTACTTCACATAACATTCTGTAGCATACAAGCAAATAGTACTTGGCGTACATATATATATACACATATACCAAAGCTCATAGTATATACAGCGGCTAATCAGTTAATCCCAAACAAACATACAAGGAATTATAGCTGGGAATACATAACTAACCCCTCGTTTAGTAATCCCTATATATATATATATACATACATTGATACACACACCCAACTACGTATTGGACATATAAAAGAAAGTGCGGTACAAAGTAAATAAAATAACGTACAGTGAACTCCCTACAACAAATACCCATAAAAAAAAGGCAAGGCAGTTACAGTGCTCGAAAAGATAAAATACAGTCCATTATATAGGTAATCATACATTTTGCGCTCAAATTATCTCCATTTGTGGTTTGCGTGAACAGGGTCAAGCTTTATTAGTTTTCCCACACTCTCTTGGTTTCCAGGCGCTCCCCTGTGATTAATTCAAACCGTATTATTTGCGACCGCACAGTAAAGCCCCGATTGTATTTGATCACCCCCACATCCCAACCTTAATTAGGTCCGCTCATTCGACTTCGAATGCTAGGTCTCACTAGCACTCAAGATAAGCCAAAAAGTCCCAGAATGAGCGAAGAAGAAAAAATTCTCGAGACCCCCGCGGAATCTCAGCGCTCTACGCGTACAAGCGGAAAGCCAAAAAAGGCAAAACAATCGGTCATATGTACTAAGTTCATATCGGAGACAGATAATTTGATGGATTACTGCGCCCGATTCAGATCAGCCCCGATCGAAGAAAATACTGAGTCTGTACTGAAAATAAAAGACAAGAGCCTAGAAAACTTTTGGAATAGAGTTCAAAACGCCTTTGATTCGACTTTGGAAATTGAAGAACATGACCTCCCCGAAGACTTTAGAGCGTCTGCCTACAGTAAATATAGGTCATGTTTGATTATATATGAAGAAACAAAAGCCCAAATCGGAGACCAACTCCAGTTAGTAGCACAAACCACAAGTCCCACTCCCAAAGCCAGTACATCACTTCCTCAGGAAACTTCAGGCATAAGCTTAAACGTCCCACCTTGCGACACCGAAACCTTTTATGGGGGTTATGAGCAATGGCCGTCCTTCCGTGATATGTTCACGGCGGTCTATATAAATCACCCTAAGCTCACTAAGGCGCAGAAGTTGTACCATCTCAGGTACAAAACGCAAGGAAAAGCTGCCCAAATAGTTAAACAATTCCCTCTGAGTGACGATAATTTCGAGCTGGCATGGGAAGCACTAAAAGCTCGCTATGAAAACAAACGGGTTTTAGTAGATAACCAAATCCGCATCCTTATGAATCTAAAACCCATCCCAATAGAAAATAGCGAAGACATACAGAGACTGCAATCATCGGTGAATAACTGTCTCCAGATTCTAGGCACCCAGCAAGTCTCCACCGAAAGCTGGGATCCCATTCTGATCTACCTGGTTACCTCCAAGCTTCCTGAGAACACCGTGGCCCTATGGGAGCAGTCCCTCAGTTCCAGGAAAGACCTCCCGAACTGGTCCCAAATGAACCAGTTCCTCACTACTCGATACGAGGTGGTTGAAAGGGTAGATCAATTTCGTGCACCCAAACCTCCGCGGACTAATCCTTCGACAATAGGCTACTCGAGGCCAACCCCCCCTAACAGTAGGCCATTCCCTAAACCCCCCACCTCTCAGAACTCTCACAACAACTCCTTTTGCCAAATCCGAGCGCACATGACGGAACAACGCACAAAACCATACAAATGCCCAATGTGCAATAAACCTCAACACACTCTCTCTCAGTGCTCCAAATTTCGTCAACTGCCAACTCAGGATCGCAGAAAGTTTGTGAGAGAACACAACCTCTGTTTTAATTGCCTATGTCAGACCCACTTGATAAAAGACTGCTCAAGTAAATATACTTGCTCCCATTGTCAAGAACGGCATCACTCAATGCTTCATGAAGACACGCCCCCCATGCCTCCAAGACAGCAGTCTCGAACACAAAGAACGACATCTCAGGTCGCTTTGACGACGCCCGCTAATTCCAACCCACAAAGTCCGGCTGGGTCGGCAACAAATCATGAGGAGCCTTCATGCTCAAACAGAGCAAGAGTACAGTCCTTCTACTCGGAAAATGAGAGCAAGATTCTCCTCCCAACAGCAATAGTTCCAGTTGAGCACAAGGGCGAGATCTTCAAACTCAGAGCTCTCATAGATCAGGGTTCGGAACGAACCTTTATTTCCTCCAAAGCCCAAAATAAACTAAGGCTACCATACGAAGCTTCTAACTTTGAAATTTCTGGCATGGGAGGAAGAGTTGTTCAGACTTCGAACAAACTATGCAATCTCATCTTAGCCTCCGCAGATTTGACCACGAAAATAAAGGCTCAAGCAATAGTCCTGCCACAGTTGACGAAAATGCTTCCCAAATTCCAGCCAACTCTCGAACAACGAGAAAAATGGTCTCACCTCCAGCTAGCAGATACTAACTGCCACTCTCCGTCCCAAATTGATCTGGTCATTGGCAGTGACCTCATTCCTGAAATAATGCTGGAAGGCATTGAAAAAATTTCCAAAAATTTGCTTGCACAAAACACCATATTCGGCTGGATCTTAAGTGGTCAGTTTCCCGAAAAAATAGCCTGTTTCTCCACTCAAGCTGCACCGATCTCCAATGAGGTTTTAGATTCCCAGCTGCGAAAGTTTTGGGAGCTAGAAGAGGTTCCGAAACCCAAGCTCACTTTGCCTGATGATGAAAACTGTGAAAAATTCTATCAGTCCACCACCACACGAGCAGCGGATGGTCGTTATGTAGTCAGACTGCCCTTTAAGCCAAGCTTCCCAGACCCTATCTCCCTTGGCCCGTCTCGCACCCCCGCCCTCCAACAGTGCCTGAGCATGGAAAGAAATTTGCTCAGAAAAGGCGATCTAAAATCACTTTACGAAAATGTATTAAACGAATATCTCACCCTCAACCATATGGAAGAAACAACTTCCCACGAGATATCTTCTCAAGGCAAATATTGGTCGTTCTACCTCCCACATCACGCGGTTATAAAACCCGAAAAAAGAACGACCAAAGTCCGAGTCGTCTTCAATGCTCCGAAGAAATCGGGGTCCGGACATTCCCTGAACGATGTTCTTTACACCGGACCAACCCTCCAGCCCGACTTGATGTTATTGATCCTCAAGTGGCGTATGTATCGATTTGTCTTCAACGGCGATGTCGAAAAAATGTATCGACAGATACTGCTACACAAAGACGACCAAGACTATCAACGAATCGTATTTCGACCATCTACAAATAGCCAAATACAAGATTATAAGTTGAAAACTGTCACGTTTGGTCTGAATTGCGCACCCTACCTCGCCATACGTACCCTCCACCAGCTCGCAGATGACGTGCAAACCACGTACCCCTTAGCGGTGCCCATATTAAACAATGAAACGTACGTTGATGATATACTTTCCGGTGGTCATGATCTCCCTTCAGCCGAAGAATCCCTCGCTCAAGTCATCCAAGCGCTCAATTCGGCAGGCTTCCCACTTAAAAAGATTACAGCCAACCACCCTGAAATTTTGAAAAACATCAACAAAGACGACCTGCTTGATACAAACTTCCTAGAATTTGAAACAACAAGCACCACTAAAACGCTCGGGATTCAGTGGAACGCTCTAACCGACACGTTTTCGTACACCGTTGATTCCATCCCAGCGTCATCCGCCAGTACAAAACGACAAATCCTCTCGGCAGTTGCCAAATTGTTTGACCCCGCAGGATGGCTTACGCCCATAATGATCCAAGCCAAAATCCTGCTACAAGAACTATGGCTGGACGGAACTGACTGGGATGACCAGGTCAAGCCCCTTCGTCTGACGAAATGGATGCAATTTGCAACCAATCTCCAAGCCATTTCTAGCATCCAAATATCCCGATGGGTAGATTTTGTCCCAGCCGACCAAGTCGAGCTACATGGCTTCTGCGACGCTTCCGAGAAAGCATACTGCGCTAACATATATGTGCGAACCACGAATGGTAGCAGGACCTCTTCTCATCTGCTGGTCTCCAAAGGCAAAGTAGCGCCTCTCCGAACCACCAGTTTACCCCGACTTGAATTGTGCGGCGCCCTTCTCCTAGCGAAGCTGGTCGCCGTAGTGCAGTCACAACTCGACCTATCTAAGAGGAAACTGACACTATGGTCTGACTCCGAGATCGTCTTGGCATGGCTAGAAAAACCCCCTCATTCATGGAAGACCTTCGTTTCCAATCGCACGGCACAAATTTTAGATCTCGTCGGAAACGCCACCTGGCGGCATGTGGGCAGCAGAGACAACCCCGCAGATCTGGGCACCAGAGGATGCAGACCCCTGGACTTAGCGGCCTCTTCGCTTTGGTGGCATGGACCGGAATGGCTATTAAGCCCACCCGAAGCCTGGCCAAAACCGGCCACCCGAAATATCTCCCCTCCAGAATTGCGCCGAGTCGAGGCATTACATGCCACAGAGGAAGATCACGATATCCTTGATCGCTTCTCCTCGTTTCCCCGCGCACTTAGAGTTATGGCGTATGTTTTTAAATTTATACAGTGTCTTCGAGACCGAGTCAGACAGGTTAGGTCAAATAATCCCATCTCTCTCTCCCATGATGACCTCCGTAATAGCAAATACAGGCTCCTAGCTTTGACCCAATCTCGCTACTTTCCTCGGGAAAAGGCCTGTTTAGCAAACTCCAAACCCATAGATAAACGGAGTCCTCTGCTTCCCCTCAACCCGTCTTTAGATAAAACCGAGTTGCTCCGCGTGAATGGTCGATTAGCTCACGCCACTTTGAGCTATAATGAAAGACATCCCATCATTATTCCCGAAAAATCCCGGTTCGCCATCCTATTCACCCGCTTTCTGCACGAACTGCTCCTCCATGCAGAAACTCGTCTCATGCAGCAAGTCATAAGGCAGGAATTTTATATCCCTCGGCTTAAGCCCCTCATAAAAAAATGCATCTTCCAATGTAAAAGTTGCACGGTCCACAAGCAGCAAACGCGATCGCAAATAATGGCGGCCCTCCCCTCGGAACGATGCACGTATGCTCCGCCCTTTACTATAACGGGCGTAGCTTTTGCTGGACCTTTCCAGATAAAGGCCTCAATGCTAAGATCGCACACGTTGGTGAAGGGCTATGTGGCTGTTTTTGTATGTTTCACTACAAAAGCAGTCCACCTCGAGCTGTGTTCCGATCTGACCACTGCCGGATTTCTCGCTGCGTTTGCTCGCTTCGTCGGACGACGGGGTTATCCCGCTAAGATGATGAGCGACAATGGCAAAACCTTTGTCGGGGCCAAACGAGCAACCGAAAAGGAGTTCATCGAATTTCTGAAGGAGGTATCTCAAGACGTCATCCAGAAATACTCACCTCAAGGCATCAACTGGGAATTTATTCCGCCAGGAGCCCCCCATATGGGCGGTTTGTGGGAGTCCGCAGTCAAAAGTTTCAAAATGCATCTCAAAAGGACTGCTGGACCCAGCAAATTCACATTTGAAGAGTTCACCACCCTGTTAGTCAGAATAGAGGCCGTATTAAACTCCCGGCCAATCTCTGCTCTATCCCAAGACCCCACAGACTTCACAGCGCTTACGCCTGGCCACTTTTTTACGAGGCGCCCCCCTCTTAGCACTCCCTGAAGTCGACCACAGCCATCTGTCCCTCCTTAATAGGTGGGAAAAAGTGAAGGTGTTACATCACGAGTTTAGTCGAAGGTGGAAAGAGGATTATATCAAGGATTTACAGAAGAGATATAGATGGAAAAATACCCAGGCAGAACCGAAAGTCGGTGACTGCGTTCTTATTGTTGACAATACTTTACCTCCCACTGAATGGCGTCTAGGCCGCATCGAAAGGTCACATCCCGGCAAAGACGGACATGTTCGAGTTGTCGATATACGCACTCAATCTGGCACCCTTACTCGCCCCATAGTCAAAATATGCCCGTTACCAATTGGTGACGCCCCCCCTCTGATTTCTCCAAAGTAGCACTTGTTAAAGCCTTTAAGCACTTTCATGATAACAGATTCTCTTATCTCAAATGAATTTAAATCTCTGTGTATCTGAATAAAATATTCTAATCTCACGTTTCTTCAACTGTCTTGTAGACTCCCCACTGAAAATCGTATTTCACCGGCTTACTTACAGATGGAGAACGGCAACTCTAATGGCGTCCCGAAACCTGCGCCACGAAGCAACAATGGTGGCCCGACACTTACACCGCGCAGTAGCAGCAGCATTCCTGCACCCAAACCGCGAGCTAGCAGCGGTGGTCCAACCCCGGCACCCCGTATTGTACAAAAACCGCAACCAGAGGCCATGGTTGTTGATTCGGTTCCGGACACTCAGCCCGACGACGAAGGAGCGGACTATCAGCGATGCCGTTTGTGCGCACGTCATCATGCCCTGCGCGTATGCCACGTATTTCGCGCAATGCAGCCAGCGCAACGCTATCTGATCGCTCGTGCACACCACTTCTGTACCAACTGTCTTGCGCTGTCACATCACAGCAGTGAATGTCCCTCCGCTGGCGTATGCAAGCTTTGCGCCCAACGCCATCACACCCTTCTTCACCGCAAGAACACCTCCCAAGCACATCCACCGCCACGTTCAGCTCCAGCTTCAGCGCCACGCTCAACATCGGCTCGACGCTCAATCTCGGCACCATCCAAATCCGCATCCTACCGCTTGCGCCGACCGCCCCGCAATGGAGTCACCTCCAACGCATATCAGCAGCCTCAAAAATTCCGGCACCCAAAGAAGGTTCGTCATACCGCACGTATAGTGCGTAACATAGCACCTCGGGGCAGGGCGACACGGAGTCTGGTTAAGGAGGCGATCCGAAAGCTACGGGAGTTGGAGAGTAGTCTATCCGCTTAACGCGTCTAGGGGCGGCAGGATAGTTAAACGAGTTAAGAATGTCGTTTAACACAACGCAAGAATGCACCTTTCACAAAATTGAATTCCTTAAAATTGTAATTTGGCACAACGCAAAAGTGCACAATGTATGACATTGAATTGTTTAAATTGATAACTTGCATATTTATATT